TGAAAAACTTTCCAGAAACTTTTTATCTACTAGGTATTGAGGATTTAGAGACACTGAATCCTCCCGCTGAGAATGTTTTGTAGCTAGCTGTGAAGACGGTTTGATGGGAGAAGAGAAGAGCAGAAAAGTAAAATTAATTTCATTTATTTGATTAAACAAATATGGATCGATTGTATCATTATTTCTAATTTAATCACAGCTCTTTGGCCAATAGTGCCCATAACGTAAGATTAACTTAAATTTAAGTTTACAAGGGTGGCCACATGGCAATGGCTTTAGGGTGGGCAGATTCTGGGAGCCACTTCTTATATGCATCTAGAAGATCTGAAAATTGTATAGAAACAAAGTAAGTTTTTAATTAGAATATAAAAAGTAAACATTTAGGTCTATAGAAAACACTTATGAAACTTACAGTTTGGTTCTTTTTTCCAAACACTGCGTAGTTTACTGGCAGAATCCAGTTCCTTAGCCACAAGAGATTTCAAGAACACTTCTGTGCGAGGCTGTAAACTAAACAAAACACAAATTAATGCCAACGTCCATTTTAAACATCAAAATTGTTATGCATTTTAAGCAAAGATAGAAAAATTCTACTAACTTTGCCCATGTTTTGACCATGGTGCTGGGTGTTGACAAAAGAACTTTAGCAAACTGGCCTAGTTTTGGAAAGACAGATCCCTCAAGTAGGAATCTTGCAAACCACTTGTACCGGTCAAGGTTTGAAGGAAAATCTAACTCCATGACAGGCAGAGGCCATCCTGATCTTCCAAATGTAGATGAAACATGACAAAGAAGCCTATCTGACTCTGCATCATATCTAGGAGGTGGATCCATCTTAGGCTCAGAAATGTTACATAAACCTGGTGCAAAGACTGGTAACCACTCTGGCTCAATAGCAGTTACACCTGGAAGACAAATTTAAAAGTCTCATAAGAAAAACTGAAAGTTGTAAAATGGGGCAAAACAGGTGGAAATTTTTTACTGTGAACACAAGTACCTCTCATGTATGTTTTGTTAGTTTCATAAATTTCTTGATAAACAACCCATTCAGGTATCTCTTTACGTAGAACAGATGATGAGTGCATAAAAACTGGACTCTCCATTTCTGGGATTTGGTAGGCATGTTTCCATTTACGCTTGTCCTCCCCTTCTTTTAATTCTTCTGGATCAACCCTTTTGGCTACTTGATCAACAAGACCACTTAACATGACCTGTAAAAGAGAACATGTGACTTTGTTATTTAGTTTTTAGTAAAAGGATAAAATGATTTCAATGTATTTGATTTTTACCTGACGAAGTAGTTTTGCTTGCATATCTGATGGAGGTGACATATTTGGATCCACACTAAGGTTGAGATTAGTAACATTGAGGTTCACCTCATTTGTTAGTTGGACTCGTAATTTGCGAATTTCAACTATAGCTTTGTGCCTAAGGCCATTTTTGGTGCAGAAATCAAGCAAGTTTCCTTGGACAGCTGCATACTCTGCTGCACCAACAGCACGTAACAACACCATTGGATCTCCTACATTATGAGAGTAGATTACAGATCATAGATTGTTGAACTACCAAACAGGCACTACTGAAAGTAAATTGAATGAGAAGATGGATATCAAATAAATAATACCTAGCAGTTTTGAGTTGCTTGCACCAGCCCATTTACGGCGTGTTAAATTCCATTGTTGTTTGGCACTATTAGCAGCAACTTCATCACCCACAGCAACTTCCAGTAAAACTTCTTGAACCGACAATGCAGCAACTAGGCAAACTGTTAGTGCTAGGAGATCATGCTGGTGACTTAAAGCAAGCATTTTACCAAATCTGGGAGATACTGGGAAGGCTGAAATTGCTTGTCCTAAACTTGTCAGCTTTCCAGAATAGTCATCTGCAAAATTATAAGGGTGGTTGTTAATAATTCTTTTTACCTCAAATACATAAGAATTCATAGCAAACTTCTCAAAACGGCAATGACTTGCCTTCTTTTCCTGGGGGTGGTGCTGTTAAGGCACCTAAAAGCCTTAAGCGACGCTCAGCAATCTTGATCTGCATGAGATCAGGGGCAGATGGGAAAGGAAAGTTAATTACTTTGTGAATACTCATTGATTTCATCTGAAGAACCAAGTCATCGACAGGTTTCCTTTGAATTTCAGGAGTGGTGTAAAGTGGAAAAGTGTCATTAAAAACGGCTGAGGAGTACAATCTGGAAAAAAAAAATAATGAAATAATAGGGAAGTATAAGATGTGAGATAGAAGTGAAAAATGAAAATAAAAAATTATAGATAGTAACAAACCTGTAGCAATGACCAGGCCCCGTACGGCCAGCACGACCAGCTCTCTGATTTGCAGATGCTTTGCTACACCACTCAACATCAAATGATGAAATACCGGTTACTTTATCATACATCCTTGACTTCCACTTGCCACAGTCCACAACATATTTGACACCAGGTATGGTCAGTGACGTCTCAGCAACATTTGTAGCAACAATGCAAAGTCGACATCCCTCGGGTGGTGGTTGGAAAACCTTAAAATGAAGGAATTGACAATGAGCACACAACTAATAACTTTAACAGGGAAATGAACTTATAATTCATTAGCAGTTTCACACCTTTGCCTGTTCATGACTAGGTAAAATTGAGTAGAGAGGAAGAACCCACAAAGGTTGAGATGTGGCACTCTTCAACAAAGCAATATCATCATATCCATCAGCATCATCATCAGAAATTCCATATTCCTCTCCACCAAATAAATCGGTCTCTGTGTCATCATTAGGCATCACTGCATACCTTTACAAGAAAAATTAATCACTTTACAATAACATAAAATTGGTATGAAATAAATAGAATTAAAAAACTTACTCATCCAAATTAATATCTGGAAGGGCTCTTTCTGCCTTTTTCTTTTTAGAATGTTGTCTGGCTTTCTGAATTGCTCTTTCAATGTTCATTTCATCCTCATTTTCCTCCTCAGACCCATCGACATTTTTTCCAGACTTCTTTTTATTAGGTTTTTCACTAAGGATCTTCTGAAGTTTCTTTTTTCTTACTGGAAATGCTGTTCTTAGCTTGCGTACAAGATTATTTACCTCACGTTGACCTGTTAGGAAAATCAGGATTCCACCATCTGGTAGCTGTGCATGTATTTTACATGTTTTTCTAAAAGCTTCTAAACAAAAGTCAGGATTGGTACGTTTGTTGAAATGAATGGTCACCGGAAACTGCCTAGTGTCAACCTAAAAATAAAAATAATAATGAAAAATACTTTGAAAATTCTCTCTAGAGGTACATACGGTAGTGTAAGATGTTGGTAAGTTATTTTGGGAGGTGAAACAGATTTTACCTTGATGACAGGAGGAGTTGATCTGAACAGGCGAGCATTCTCAACAAAATCTTCCAAACGTAAAGTTGCAGACATAATAATAAGTTTAAGAGGGCTACCCCTTTTGAGTCTCAGTGGCACAATTCGTGACAGCAGTCCAATTAAAATATCAGTGTAAACACTTCTTTCATGAGCCTCATCCAAAACTATGACAGAATATTTAGTTAAAAGGAAGTCCTAAAAAGATATCAAAAAAAGTTATGGTTTAGTTGCATAAATTGATGTAAAGCATGTCTTTGTTTTGAACAAAATCTACGTACAGTTTGAATTTCCTTTAGTAAAACACCATCAGTCATAAATTTAATTTTGGTACTATCTGTGACATTTCCTTCAAATCTGATAAGATAGGAGACTTCTTTTGACGTCAAGTTCATTTCTTCAGCAATTCTTTTAGACATAGATATGGCTGCTACTCGACGGGGCTCAGTAATACCGATAATTTTACCATCCCTGAAAATAAGTTGAATTATCAATTACCTCCATTACCTCAAATAAAAAAATTAAAATGCTGTGGTTAATTTATTACTTGGCGTAGCCAGCTTCAAACAAAAATTGAGGCACTTGGGTAGTCTTTCCACTTCCAGTTTCACCAGCAATTATAACAACTGGGTTATCAGCAATTGCTTCCATAATAGCCTGTTCCTCAGCAAGAACTGGAAGTTTCATTCTAGCTTCTTGAATATCAGGCTTTCTATTCACGGGGACATAAACAGCTGGCCTAGGTGGTAATGTTTTGAATTTAGGTGCCATACCTGTAAAAAAAAAAAAAAAAAAAAAAGGTTTTCATCTAAATAACAAAAGATAGGATGCATTTTATACGACTTTTAACAAAAAGAAATACCATTAGTTTTGGATGAAGGACTTTTTAAATTAGAATCAGGCATCTTCTTTTTAGGAGAGCTCTTATCCTCTACACTAACGGCTGAAACCTCCATTCGGCTAGAGGTATCAGAAAGAGGCATCTTTTCCTGATTATGTATTTTTAAATCCTCTGTCTCCTTCTCATCTTCTGACATATCTTGATCAATTATTTGGTTTTCAGATATGTCATTATTGTCTGTGTTATCCACATCATTTTCATCTGATTGGCTATCAGAGTTGTCATTATCCTCATTCTCTTCATCTTCCTCCTGCTCCTCCTCACTAGAATCATCACTAGAAGACTGGAAGAGAAAGAATTAGATCACAATCAACATCAATACATAAACAGAAGATAAAATGAAAAAGAACTAGACAGTCTACCTCAAATCCAACAACATTGGAACTTTTACTTTCTTGTCTTGGATCATCTTGTTTCCATAGGCCAGCTTTGAGGAGAGCTTTCCTTTTTTTACTGCCTGAGAGGCTATTTAGATAGCTCCCAGACTGTTCATCAATATTGTGGTCAACATTCCTGGCTTTCTTTTTAGAAATTGAAGAACCATCTTCCTGCTCTTGAAAAATACGCTTTAAACCCTTAGTTTGTAATGCGGCGATTGATGTCAGCTCTTTTAAAACTTCGGGTTTAGCTTGGAATTCTGAGAGTGTCTGAAGTAGCTCAGATCTCTATAAAATTTAAAAAATCAAAGAAAAAATTAGTCAGACTTGATAAATTGAAAAATATTTTGACGGATGTCAAAAATTTTTGAACTGAGAATTTCTTACATTCTCCTTTTTCTTCTTCTTATCAACAATCTTCTCGAGCCTTTTTCTTTGCTTCCTAGACAATATTTTGGTAACAGTGCCCTGCTGTTTTTTTAGTTGTGTTTTGCGTTTTTGAGAAGGTAACACTAAAGGATTAGAGACATCAAACTTTTCGTTCCTGAGCCCTTCAGTCTCCACCTTGATCTGGAAAAAAGAGAAAAACATTCCAGGTAAGACGGAAAATATTGTTTTTTTGGTTTATAGGCAAAGAAGGGTTTTGAGGATTTCAAATAATATTGTTTACATTTTGCTGAAGTATAGTTTGGGGGTTATGTACATTAATCAGCAGAATATTATACTACCTTTGATGTTTCTGCATTATCTATGAGAGTTTCTTTAACTTGACGTGCTTTCCAATTGTACTTTTTATCTGTTTTCCACATTTTGGGCCGGGGGAAATTATCAATCGAAATAAAAACCGGTCACGTTGAAGTCCACATGGAGTTAAGTGCACTGCAGAAGACTCAACATCAGTCGGGATCATGGGAGAAAGGTTGTTTTTGGTAAGTGTGACGTCATGAACGGAAGGGTATGGAAAATATAGAAGGGAGGCATCGCGGCAGATTTAAAGTTTTTGGCTCCTTCCTCAAGGGCTTGCTCAAGGGTTGAACTTGAGAAAAGGGTTGAAGTTGAAATTTTTTGATGGTAAGAGGTACTATGGTTAGTTTTAAAAAATTGGCATGGGAATCACTGGGAATTTTTATTCCTAACTGTTTTTAAATAGGTCAGACAAGAATTGTCAGTCAAGCTTTCTTTGAATTACACACAATCAATACACAAGATTGAAGGCAAGTTTATAACATGAATCATCAAAAGACTTAGATATATCCTGGCACATTGGATTGTGTTCCATTAAAATTAAATGTAGAAAAGAGATACAATAGTTTCATTCATTACAAACAAAGCTTCATCACACACATGTATAGATTCGTGGCCCAATAATAATGACATTTTGTTGCCAAAACTATCTTGAGAACAAGAAGGACCTTTTCTTAAAGTACACTGTTAGGAAGTGTAGATCAAAAACGTCACTTAAGATTGGAACAGAAGACTAACAATATCAATTCAATAAGAATTCAACAATTAATTAAAATCACAATATTTACCATGACATTACATAATGAATTAATCCTGTGGTTTTACAAATCCAAATCACAGGAGAAATAATCAGACATTTACTCATACAGTGCTTGTAAAGGTTTTGTCACATTGTATTTTCTTATTATACCATCTCGGCATGCAGTATAAATAGCATGCCCATCAGTTGCGATGTCATAAATGGGGTCATATTCTGGCCCTGTTAGCTGTATACGCTTAGGTGACCTATTAGAATCTTTGAATGGCAAGTAAGTGCATGTTCCATCTGTGCGACCCACAAAAATTCCCTCAGTGTGACACAAAAGACTTAATGCAGGGCTATTAGATTCATACCATGAGCACAAAGGCGTTTCTAAGTTAGCCGGGTTGAATAAGAAAACTTGTCCATCATGGCAACCCACAGCAACAGTTTCTTCATTAACTGGGGCAAGACAGTTAACAGCTGAAAGCAGTGCTTTTTTGCTCAAGGTTTTTCGGCTTCGAACTGCAATTGATGCAAGCACACCATCTTCACAGCCAACAATAAGAACTTTATCTTCAGTCCCAATCTCTCGTTCACCTGCAATGAAATTAGTAAAAATTAGATAGAAAATATCAGGATATTTCTCATTTTACTATCTCTACAACATAGAATAAAGTGATGCATACTTGGAGGTTCATCTCGTTCACCCAGTGGCACTTTATTGCTAACAGCAGTTATAGCACAACAATTTATTACTGATGGCAATTCTGCAAGTACACCAAGACATGCTGACTTGCCACAATCCCACAAACGAGCTGTTCCATCTCTGTAAAGAAAATTTTTAAAATGGTAAGTGTGCTGCTCTACATTATTCTTAGAGAAAGTACATTAAGAGAAGGTTTTTTTTTACTTTGATACAGAAACGACATTCCTGCCACGATCCACAATAGCTACATCCATGATAGAGCCAGTGTGACCACGGAGGGAGACAGGACACTCTCCTTTCTCGGCGCACCAGATTTTAAGCTGCATGTCAGCCCCACCAGAAATAACTACAACCCCAGATGGGAAGAAGCGGCACTGGTAGACATCACATGGGTGACCCACTAATGATCTCTGAGTCAAAAAGAAAGAGAAACATAGAATTAAAACAGAGTAGAATAGAATAATATTACACAATTTATGGAAAAGATAAAAAATGAAAATATATTCTTACATAGACTTGTCCAGTTTTGGTATCCCAAACATTTAGCTGGTTATTTGTGCAAGCTGAGACAGCAAGCCCTCCTGGGGTTGTATGAAGAGATATAATCTGAACACAAACCAGAAGCAATGCCAAAACTCAGTTTAGTTTCTATAATAACACTTCAATGTAAAAATAGAATAATACAACTAAAAAATGCTCAGTATTGTGTCTATACTAACACTTTTTTTGTGAATTCCACTGAACTGGGAGCCTGGAGCAACAAATAATGTGCAGCAATTGGACCTCTGATGTGTAACTGATATCCCTCGTACATCAGGAATCCATTTGACTGAAAATCCTTCTGAGGAGGAGACAGTATCTTTGGAGCCACTACTCAGAATTTTCCCATCAAAACTGTTTTCGCCTGTTGGGAAATATTTGAATTAAAGGACAGGAAGAGTGAATAACTGCACTGTCACTGTAACAATCAATAGATTGTAGAATACCTCGAAATTTGCAGGAGACCCAAAGCTCGCTGTTTTTGTTCCTGAAATTCAAACACCCAAGCCAATAAATATGAACCTATCAGAAAGAACTACGAATAACAAGAACTGGTAAACTGCAATGGCCCATGACCATGACAACAAAAGAAATAAAATCAGCTGTCATTTTGACAGAACAGGACATTTCTGTTAATGATGCAATGAGGTTGACCATTACAGAGCAGTAGGTTTATATTATTTCAAAGAAATTAACTAATCAGGTGTTTCGATAAAAAGACTTTTTCAAGATACATAGACATTATTGATTTTCTTGTAAACAAAAACAAACTCTTAACCTCTGTCGTTTCTAAAATACCAATTACCTAATTAGATCATCCCAGTTACACTGTATATTTAACACAGGGGCAGATCTGCGATCGTATTCTTTTGAACTCATTTCGAAGGTGCGCTGCAATACTTTACTGAAGGGTGCAAAAGAAAAATTTAAATGAAAAGGTAGCAGTGGAACTTGGACAGGCTTCTGCTGCTCGAAGCCAGTGAGCTCGGCTCGTTGTTCAGGTTCATATCCGCTCGAATCCCATCTCTGCCAAATCTGTCTTCTGCTTTTCACCGCCTGCCAGCAAAATCTGTGCAAAAACCACGTTATTTTTCAGGCTGGCAAACAGCTATTAAATACTCTGGGAGACATGATAATCGGCATTGATGTATTTTAAGTTATTTAAAATCATCTATTATTTAAATTTCAATTCTCAGTGTCTTTGTTTTAGTTTAGACCTTCTACGCTTCCGGAAAAACACGAATTATTGTCCGCCGAATGATATTTCTTGTTGGACAGCCTTTGTACAGCTCGTCAGCTGTTTTGTATTGCTGTGTTGGCGAGTGATGTTTTTATTTGTGCTCCTGCAGAAGAAAGGTTATTTTGCCAAAAATATTGACGAATAACTGTAGGCTTGAGCTGATTTTTTCATGACTCTTGCGAGAATAGATGAATTCAACTCATAAACGTGATGTCGTGGCTTGAAAAGGGCATTTCGTCTCTGAAGGGGCAGATAACGAATTTCACCAAGGAAGTTTTAGCTGATGAAGACCCTGATTCCACTGGTATGTACCTGTCATCTCAATATTCCATTTACAGTAAAATTGTGTTATGTAGTTGGTTGACGTATCAGCCTTTGCATTGACTAAAATATTCAGAAGCTGTTCATCTCTTCTGTCTCGGACATAATTCTACCTGGCTTATTCATACTGTTTCAAAGTGAAATGTTTGTTTACTTTCTGTTCAGTCATGTTTGTGACAAAACTAGTGTTTCAAGCTAGTCAATTATTCTTGTTTTTTGGTTAATCTTAGATTCATTCATAAATCAACCAAAACAGTGCCAACATCAGTATCAAGGTGTAACAGTGAGGTTATTTGGATCTAGAGATCAAACTCGTCGGCTAACATAAATTACATCTTACATTTATTTTGGCAAATGTTCCATGGTGAACCTTAGATACATAACGTCCTATCAATAAATTAAATTTCTTTGGGGTTCTTTTATATGTTGGAACAACAAGTCAAATATTATACTCTACTTACACTTAGACTATGATATTATTTACAATTGGTAATTGTTGAGGTAACATTCACATTAGTTCAAGAATTTTAACTTTTACTGGACAAGAGCCAAGGATACAATTTTATCATGTAATGCACCTCTTTTGACTTTGTGACGCTTGACACAGGATTGTCACTCTTGAAGGGGCAGAAACACTATAACCACTGATTTGAAACCTCGTATGACAAGTTATCCATGCTACATGACTTTTCACAACTCAACACTGCGCATACATCGGGGACTTTACATAGACTTTTGACTGTGTTCGTAACAAAATGCAACTGGTCAAAGTTTTTGCTAGTGGGCTTCCTCCATGCGTATCGTACACGCGTCTAGCTTAAGTTTGTCCGTCCTGCCCAGCCGCGCCCGGGCGGCTCAGCCGCCTCAGCCGTGCCAGCCTGTCGTGGCGGGGGCGGGTCCGGGGGGCTCGGCGTGGGGGCCGCCCTGGGGGCTGGTGACGGCCACGACCGGCCCTGGCCCCGGCCCCGGCCCCGCCCCCACCGCCGGCACCGGCTCCGGGACCGCGTGCGGGTCCCACACGCTCTCCCACACGGGCCGCCACACGGTGCGCCACTCGGGCACCTGCTCGTTGACCACCTCGTTGGGGATGACCTGCTGCCACTTGTCGCGCAGCTCGCAGCGCTTCTCCTGGACCCAGATGGGCCGCTGCTCGGTCCGCCAGCCCTGCACCAGGTCGTCCTTCCACTCGAGCTTCTTGTCCGGCACCCACACGAGCTGCTTGCCCTCCACCTTGTTGATCTTGAGCGACTCCTGGCGCCAGACGGGGCGCTTCTCCTTCACCCAGATGCGCTTCTTCTCGGTCCGCCACTCCTTCTGCCACACCTGCTTCCAGATCATTTTCTTCTTCCAGCTACCGCCCTGCGGACTGGTACCTGTCGCGTCCGGCACCCACTCCTCGCTCCACTCGGGCACCCACACCTGCAACACCACCCCGCCGATCAGTGCACCCGGACCCACCGCTGTGCACACCGCGCACCATAAGGCCAGCCCACTTACCTTCTTGTCCTCTTGCACCATCTCGTCCTTCCAGGCGGGCATCTCGATCTCCTTCCACTCGGGTATCTTGATGGTCTTCCACTCCGGGACGAGTGTCTGCTTCCAGGCCTGGACGTGCACCTCCTTCCAGACGGGCTTCTTGACGCTCTTCCATTCGGGCACCTGCACGTCCTTCCACACCTGGACCTGCGTCGGCTCGCAGTGCTCCACCTGTTGTAAATTTTTTGTGAATCCAATCTAGCCCAGCTTGGAGGTTTAGGCCCTTTAGGCGCACGTTAGTAGAAAACTGCCGTTACCTGGACCTGCTTCCACTCGGGCTTTCCTCGGACCACCTTTGGAACCGTCTTCCACTCCTGCTTCTGCTCGGATTTCCAGACCAGCTTCTTTTTCCACGCGCCGGGTCCCTGCGGCTGGTACAGCGGTCCCTGCGGGCCCAGCAGGTTGTCGCCGTGCCCGTCCGAGCCGACGGGCGCCGAGCCCAGCGACACCTGGTCCAGGACGGGGAAGCGCATCGCGGGGGGCGCCAGGTTGTCCTGCGCCGGCGGCCCGAACAGCGGGCCCGGCTTGGGCATGCCGTAGGGCACGCCGTAGTCGCCGCGACGCTGGGTCCGCTGGGAGCCGCGCGCCGGCCCCGGGGGCCGGGACGGGGGCGGCCGGTGCAGCGGCCAGCTCGCCGTCAGCCTGCGGAAAGTTCGGTTTGAGAAAGGCCGATGGCTCCGGGTATCCCGTACCATTGTAGTAATACCAATGACAAGAAGAGAGGTAAAAAAGTTTGCTAGCAAAAATAGCTGTTTTTGGTTGCTGTTTCAGCAAATACTTTCCCAAATATTATTTAAAAAATTTGCTCAAGTGAATATTTTTTCTGTTACTCTAGTGGCAAACATTCTGATGGCAAAAGAAACATTTAGCTGGTAACAACATCCTTGTTTTAGCTGTTTTCTTTTTTTTTTAGGTAACGCTTTTCATTGCTTGGTCAAAGTTTTGTCGATTAGCGTCACTTTACGGCAGTCGTCCTCATGTTTCGATTTCGTTTTACTGTGTATGCCCCCCCGGCCCGCGGCGGCGCGACAGTCCTGACCGGCCATGTCGTTGACTTATCGCCCCGCTCCGCGACCGCTCACTCCCGAGCTCGCTGCTCCCCGCGGCCGCGACACCACATTTCTCTTCGCGGACGCGACGCGGCCGTCCCGCCGTCGTCGGGTCGACCGACGACGCTCAGCGGCACCAACTGAACGCACCGGGGCACGCCGGCGCCGCCCGCATTGTGACATTCCGCGCGGTACCGAGGTGGTGGCGCGGTGGTGGCAGCCCCGCCTGCAACACCTTTCGCGCAGTCTCGTTTTTTTATTTTTACGATTTATTCAGTGTCCCTCTCACCGCGGCACAACGCGAGCGTGCGCTTAAGGTGTTTGTTTGTATGTGTTTCACCTCAATTATGACCCCCCCTCGACTACACCAGACGACTTCCCCC